TATATATATATATATATATATAGATATAGAGAGAGAGAGAGAGAGAGAGAGAGAGAGAGAGAGAGCGTTTGAGTAAGTTGAGAAAAAGCTCACAGTACGGGACGCTTTTTCTTTTATTTCGTTCTCTTTGACTGTTTCGTTTCACGCGAAAAGTTTTAAAAGCTGTTGAAAATAAAATAAAGAGATAGAAAATGCCTCGCAGGATTCAGTCGTCATTTTCCTTTTTTTCCGCTGAAAACTCTTTCAATTTCCAAAAATATTAACGTCTGATTTATAAATAAAGACACAAAAACTGATTTTCTTTTTGAAAAATAAATTTTTTCCCCACTTCTGTCAAAGAAAGAAATTTACAAGGAAAATATTTTCGCTTTGTAACACTTTTTATACGTTTAAAATGTATATCACCATGTTTCAGTACTGGTAGCAAAAATTTCTTTAAAAAAAAAAAACAAACTTGTTCTGTGTTTTTCCTGATGTCTGTCAGTATCACGCTACATAATTCTGATAATATTTTATAACCTCAGGCTCAAAATCACAGTAGTGGGTCACCTCGCAAGTGGATTTTTTTCTGCGAAACATTACAGTAGGCGCCCAAATTCTAAATGCATGTCGTTTGAATTTCAATACTGTACGAGACCTGACCTAGAGTTGATAGAGGAGAGAGTCAGTTGAACGAGGTCAAAATTCATTAATTTATTTGATAATCAAACGAATCTATTTTTTTAAAAAAATTGAATGAACATAGCACGAATGCAGTGTTATTGTTTTTTTTTTTATTTTATTTTTTCTTTCTCGCTGACATAAGTCTTTTTTCTCTCTTGCTTATTTCTTTTAAAACCATTATTTACACTACCCACTCGATGAAAAGAACCACTTTTACTTTTTATTTATTTTTTACTTCTAGAACTTAGTGTTCGAGTCCAGGTTAAAAAAAAAAAAAAAAAAATCATTATTTCAAATGTTGACTTTTTTTAAGCAGGCACACCCTCTCCACTTTTGGAAGGCTGGTATCCCATATCCTAATTTTTTTAAAATCATTTCGCACCAAGCATAGCAATATAAAGCCACTATGACGCTAGGGGTCACTTAGATTTTTTATTATTTAGAGAATATAAGAAGAAAAACACTTGAGAGAGAGAGGGAGAGAGAGAATTAAGAAGACAGTAGATAACGATTGTCTCCAATTTAGTCTTCTTGTGTCATACTAAGCTTCACTTAGTAAAAATAAAAAAAGAACCTCAGCCCGATTCTTTGGTAAAAAACAATTCTAAAGAATTGATGCTCCCCAAACCATCAAACGGTTTTTATCCTTTGTGTTGTGTGGGTAAAAAAGAGTAGATACATTATTAAATATTAATTATACACTTCATCAAGGTTCGACTATATTGTATCCTGCGGCGTTCTTTAAGTGCCTACGCCACCGGCGGGAATTTTGAACCAAACGTTTTATACTGGAATACATTTTTCAATTTTCATATTCCGCTGTATCTATCTTGGATCTGTTATAAAACACTGTAGTTTTCAGTTAACTGGATCATTTTTCAGAATATAAAAAAATGAATAATCAATCAATCAATAAATAAATAAATTAAAAAAAAGTCTAAAAAAAGAGAGAAATAAAGAATACTTTTTACGGAATTTGATATTATTTTTTAAATAACTTTTCTAATTTCTTCCGCCTCATTCTTTTTTTGGAAAAAACAAAACAAAAAAAAACGTCACGCATGAGGAGATGTTGAAAACTAAAAGTTTTACTTTTTCAGTCTTTCCACTTCTTCAAAATCTGTCCAGATAACATTGGAATATACGTTCACATCACTTTGGTTTGGTTGGCGACTTATTTATTTATTTACTTTTAAAATGGTAACACCTCTCTTTCTTTCTCTATTTACGTGTTGGTGCTAGGAACTTCTCTTTCTTTCTCTCTTTTCGTGCTGGTGTTGTGAACCTCTCTTTCTTTCTCGTTTACGTGCTGGTGTTGGCAACCTCTCTTTTTTTCGTGCTGGTGTTAGGAACCCCACTTTCTTTCTCCCTTTTCGTGTCGGTGTTGTGAATCTCTCTTTCCTTTTCTCTTTTCGAGCTGATGTTGTGAGTGAACCTCTTGTAGCGTCTTCTTATTCCGTGATAATTACCCGTTACTTTCTTGAAATTTTAATTTATAAAAGAAAATAAAAAATAAATAAAAGTCACAAATTTATCGGTCATTTAAATAAAAAAAACAATTTTAAAAAATTTAACCAACTGTGAAAAAGCGCTTTTTTCTTTCAAATTTGTTGTGTTTAATTAATTAATTCGATCTGGGGAGATTCTGTGAAGAACTTAGGTTTTTTTGGGCCTTGCTTCAGACTAAAAACTGTAGCTTCTTCTTAACTGAGTCTGAAAATTCCACCCTACCAATCAATTTAAAAAGCTAAAAGCAGTCTTATCACAGAAAATAATACCTTCCTTTTTTTGAAAGTATATTTTTTATTTACTTTTTATTTATTTATTACGAGAGAATTTCTTCGGGCCTTAGTTTGTGTCCTGTTTTCTCTTTAGTTTATTAAAAATTTACACTACAGTGTGATCCTTTAAAATTAGAGAGATCGCATTTTTTTGTTGTAAACAAACTTATTTATTTAACCTCCTAACATGACTGATTACTTGCCTTCCTGGAACCTACGAATGTTAGCAATAACACTAGTTGCTATTATTACGACAATACAAATAAAACGCATAATCTGACAATACCAGTTGGCAGTTTTATTAGTTAGTTTGGATGTAAAAGAGAATAAACAATTAAGAAAGAAAAGGCCTAATGCTTTTTAGTTAGACTTTTTATTTCGTGTTTTATCTTCACTGTGTAATTGTGTCATGAGAAGAATAGATGCGTCAGTCGTCCGCATCATCTTCCCTTGCCTCTTTTGTTCAATAGATTTTTATGGAAAGGCAGTGTTAATTATTATCTTTAAAGTGTTCGACATCAATGCGACGGACGGAGTTAATTCGTTGGCGAGGCGCAGAGAGAAAGAAAGGGCAGTGGAGGTCGACAAGAACGCCACGCGTGCTTGGTTTATAAGTTTAAGGAAGTGTGTGTTACTTTTAGATAGAAACACAACGCGCGCTTACCACCATAAAATGCATACAGTGACGCACCTCAATAAAACCGGCTGTTTGTATGCGTGTGTACCAATGCGATCTTTTGCGTACATCCCTACAATGTACGTAAATTTTACAACAGTCGTGTGCGTGTGTGTACGCGCACGTGCGATTTCTATTTTATGTTTTGTTTAACAGTACGTAAACATAGAACAAGGATGTTGTGTGTGTGCATAAGATACAAAATGGTTGTGTACTTGTAAATAAATTAACTTAGTAAATGAAATGTTTAGTTTGGCGTTTATTTTTTTTAAACTAAAGTTATTTAAACGTATTTTAATAAATTTTAAATAATGCCTTTCAGTGTACTTTTATTTTTGGCTACTTAATATTTATTTTTAACTTTTTTCTTTTTTTTAGTACTTTTTCTTTTTTTGTTAGTCTGTGTGTGTGTGTGCGTGTGTGCGCGCGCTTGGGAACAAAGTGATCGTTTTTTTTTTTGTTTTTTTTAATAGTATATTTATTTCTGTTATTGTCCCCCTCCCAACAACAACAAAAACCAGCGTATATTTATCAGTGCGCTTGTCTATGTATTGTAGACAAAACGAAAACGATACAAATTATTAAAATAAACAAATTTTGAGTGCATTTCTGAAAACATTTTTTAAATAATTTAACTTAAATTTTTAAAATAAAGCTTTTAGTTTTCATTGATGTCGATTTGATATTCTTATTTTCAGAGGCAAAAAAAAAAAAAGTATTTTTCTTTTTATTGTCTCTTATTTTATTTTCCTAAAAAATGACTGATTTTCGTTCATCGCACCTTTTAGCATATCGCAGATAAGAAGTGAAATGTCAAAAGAGAAGTGACAATTTTGGGGTCCTACTTAAAAAAAATTGATTGACAAAGTGTTTGCGGTCAGAAAAAGGTCGGAGAAAGGACCGGTACATCGATCATTTTTCCAACTGACCTCTCTAGAAAGCGCAGGCGAAATCAACAAATAATTTTCTCTTTATCTCATATTCATTAATTCAATCACCCTTTGGACAGTGGACACTGACAGGATAATAATGTCCGAATTCACAACGGACACCAGAGAGTATTGAAGTGTTAATTAATTAAATACTAATTAAGAAATTAATTGAAAACATAGGATATTTTACTCTAAAAGACGCGCCATAACAGTTCACAATTTGGCAAATTAAATTATAGCAAATTTGCAAATATAATAAAAAAAAATAAAAGTTTTTAAGTTTAATATTGGAACAATATTTATTTATTCGGATCTTACTTGGTAAGTATTTGGGATAATGGGATATTAATTTTGTTTATTATGGAGAGAGAGTAAACATCAAATAAGATCTGAATAAAAAAAATACTTATTTTCTATAAAACAAGTTTATTGAAGGAATAATGATTGAATATTCGCAAAATCACTTAATAAGTTAACTGTTAACTTATTAAGTGATTTTGCGAATAACTGTTAACAAGGAAAGAAGAATGAAGAAAAAGCCAATATAGTTTTAACTTTCAATTAATAATAATATTTTTATTTTAATTGTTCAAAATTCAAAAGATTTTCTTATGTCGGCCGGTTAAAAAAATGTAACCTATCATTTCAGATATGAAAAGATTTTTTAAAAAAATTATTTAAATCATGGGAAGGTAGAAAATATAAAATTCAGAGATAAAAAAACCCCTAAAAATGGACTGAATTTTCATTGATGTTTCTACTAACCATGTTGAATTGACTCAACTCACAGTCAACTGTTTGTCTTTTAGTCTGATTCTTATGTCAGGCGATAGTTATCGTCTGTCTTCTTAATTCCGATTCTTTTATTGTTTGCTTTTACTCATATTCTCTCACGCTCAGTCACCATTTCCATGTTAGTGGCTTTATTTCGTTGCTTGCTGTGAAATGATGTTAAAACTCTATCTATCTATCTATCTATCTATCTATCTATCTATCTATCTATCTCTATCTATCTGTGTGTGTGTCCATATCTGCATTTTATTCTGTTTAAAGTGTATTCATATCTGCTTTATTCAGTGTAAGTGTATTCTACATTATTATGCTTATCTATAAGTGTAGTACTGTACTGTATTCATATCTATCTATCTATCTATCTATCTATCTATCTATCCGTATTTGCTTTATTCTGTCTTTTCATCTATCTATTTTTATCTATATCTACTTTATTCGATGTAAGTGTATTCATATCGACTTTATTCTGTTTGTTCATCTATCTATCTATCTATCTATCTATCTATCTATCTATCTATCTATCTATCTATCTATCTATCTATCTCAGTCTGTTCATATCTATCTATCTATCTATCTCAGTCTGTTCATATCTATCTATCTATCTATCTCAGTCTGTTCATCTATCTATCTATCTATCTATCTATCTATCTATCTATCTCAGTCTGTTCATATCTATCTATCTATCTATCTATCTCAGTCTGTTCATATCTATCTATCTATCTATCTATCTGCTTTTCTTTATTCTTTTTCTCTATCTGTACATCCATATCTGTTTTTTTTCTGTTTATCTATCTATGCTTTATTCTATCTGCTTATTCATGTCTGCTTTATTCTGTTTTTCTATCTATCTATCTATCTATCTATCTATCTATCTATCTATCTATCTATCCTTTATTCTCTTTACGTTGATGCTTGAGACCGTTGTTCAACCGCAGATGAGTCAAAATTTCGAATAATATACAAGTTTCTCAACTTTTTGGAAGAATGGCTCTACACGCTCTTCTTTTCCTATTATTTATAGCAGTTACTGCTTTTATGTATTTTTATAAAATTATACTCCGATAGCATTCTATTATTTTTACCGACGAGACGGTGGTAAACTTGGCTGCCGGTGATTCCAGTCAATGACAGAATTTTGCATAAACGCTAATTTTCCCACCAAATAGAACTTTCTGCTTGAAAAGACTGGCACTGCACAACTTTTCTATCGTCCTAAATTAGTACATTTGTTTACTTGTAAAAGAGTCTTACAACGTCTACAGTTATATTCACCATTCAATATTGTCGTTTCCATTTTTATTTTAGATAAACTAAATACAAATTAAATTTAAAGTTCAGCGTGAATAAAAATGCAGTTATGTAGGTAAAATTGTAAGATAGATATGGAAGATTAGATATTTATGGATCAGATTTGATTTGTAGCTAAATCACAGTTTTTATTTGTTAGTTAAACCGAACGGATATGAATATTAATAGATTTTAACCAAAATTAATATGAAAAAAAAACCCCGAAAATGAAAGATCGCAGTGGATAAAATGAAAGAATGATAGTGATGGATTAGGGCCTTAGGCTCAAGTCCCTAGAAGTGGAGGTGTGGGTTGATTATGGTAAACTTGAAATTGATTAAACTTGTTTTTTATTTACTTATTTACACATACAAATAGACACAAAACAGAAGTCATGCCAGTAATTCTTTTCATCTTCAATAGTCACACTCCAGTAGCACAAATTTCATTTAAGGAATCCTTAAAGGCGAGCAGTTTGATTTTTGACCAAAAACAAGGCTCTACTAACTAGTGTGAAGCGTTTTTTGTTTTGTTTTTTGTTTCGTTTTTGTTTTTGTTTTTACTGTTTAAAATTAAAAATAGCAATACACACATTTTCTATTATTCTTCCCTGCAATTATTTTCTTACTTGTAATAACTTTTTTTCTTCTTCATATGTCACAAAATACAAAATGGTTGGTCACCCATCGATCATGCAGAGCAGAACAATAACTTGCAATATTTAGAAATACGATTATAATCCCACCCTTCCACACACACAACAGTTTATGCATGTGTAACTAAATACATAGTTTTATTGTGCCAATTGGTTTTGGGTAGAGAAATAGAGATTTTGTATTTATTATATAACAGACGACCGGAAAGAAGGTTATTCAGTGTTGCCCGGGTTAAAGTGAGTATGTGTGTATTTGGGGGAAGGGTGTCCTAAACTTATTATTAATTTCTGTTTTTCCTAATTTTATTTTACGCAATACGAAATACGGCGACAATAAATTCAGTTAAAACAAAAAAAAAAAAAAATGTGATGCAATATTTTCATGTCCCAAGTGAACAAAACGTAGCATCAGTTTCCTTTTTTTTTTTTTATTAAAATCAAAGAAATATAGCCCTCCTTGAAAATATCGCGCAGGAAATATTGTAGTTTTAGAGTGCCAAATATATACACATTGTGTCAAATTTCTTAGCCTAATGACAATCAACTTACTTAAACAGTATAAGAGAAAATTTAAGAATCTTAAAATTAAAAATTATTAATTTTCCGCAGAAAAACTAAAAGATAAGGCGGGGTGGGGTTGAAATGACATGAAAATGAAAGTCGTTATATTTCTCTTTTCTTAATGAAATCTATATATATATATATATATATATATATATATATATATATATATGTGTGTGTGTGTGTGTGTGTGTGTGTGTATATATATATATATATATGTTTAAAGATATTTTTGTAGGTACAAAATTTAATGATCGAAATAAAAGTGTAAAATTTAATATTACAAGACATAAAACAATATTAAATAATAAAAAAAAATCAACAAGGGGGGAAGCAACCGGTTTCGCTCCCGCTCGTCAGGCTTCCACGGGAGATTAATATATATATATATATATATATATATATATATATATATATATATATATATTGTGTGTGTGTGAACTTTTTAAATTTTAATGATTTTTGCTATTCAGGTCCTTCGCCAAGCAGAAAATCATTTGTTCCCCATCACCTCTGTGAATTATGATGCAACCCAATTATATTTCCAAATGATGTGAACAAATTCAAATTCTTGTTCTTTGCGTTAAAGACCCCACACTCAAACGTGGAGGAAGGACAAAAATGACAGATATATTAATATTTTTCAATAAAAATATTTCTCCTTTAAAATAAAATTGTATAATTGTACGTATCCTTAAACTCAAAAATCTGATTGCTTTCTTAAAAATAAACGTTAAAATCTTTTCTTTGTGTTGTAAAACAAACACGTACCGTATGCTCGAATATAGTGCGAATTTTTATGATCAGTTGTTTTTTTACGCAAAAAAATAGGGGGGGGTCGCCTTAAGAGGTTAAAAATCACGCATGAACGAAAGCAGAATTACGCTATCTAAATCTTTATATCAGATATTTTACGCTGAGTGGTTTTTCTCACCCTTTTTGGTGGTAGCAAAAAGAAAGAAGACCATTTATTTGCTATAACAAAATTATATGTCCAGGACAATGCCCAGTACTTCAATATTTGGCTACGATAGGGTTACTAGTATTGTTCAGAAGCTGGGATTGCATTATATACGATAAACTCATTTAAACTAAGGTTTTTCATGAAAAGATTCAGGGGTTGTACTATAAATGAAGTCGACTTATACACGAGTATATATGGTATTTTATCAGATGTCCTGCTCCCCTAACACACACACAAATGAAGTTAATCAGTTACGCAATAATTCTTTTGTACTATCATCTTTTTAGTCCGATAATTGTAGTAAAAATATCTAATCTTAAAAATTCAGTCAGAAATTTATCACCGTCTTAGTCGAAACTGTCTTTATTACATACTAGTTTGGTACCTGTAGCAAGATGATCAAATTTGGAATCTAAATTGTTTGTCTGTTTAAAATACAATAATTATTAGAAAAATGTATTAATTTGAAATACAGGAGTCATAAAAATGATTTCATTTCAGTGTCATTATAAAATTAAAATAACTTCACATTTCGGCCTGTACTCTTTTCAGATTATCCAGGGGTTGTTGCCAGACATAAAGAGAAATGAGCCGTTGTCAATTTCAATTTAAACTGCGTGTGTATAGACATTTTAATTTAATGATAGACCTAAACATATTTATAATTTTTTAAAAAAAAATGTTTAAAAAATATTAAATAATTATTACCGAATAATTTTCAAAAAGTTCCATAAAATAAATTATCAGATTTCTTTCCGCCAACTTTATTATGAGTTTATATTGCTCAGCCCAGGTTAAAGGCTGAGAATGTCATTTCAGACCGAGTCAAGTGTGTGTGTATTAATTGGCACAAGCACATGTAAGTCACATACACACACACCACCGCAACAAGATACGCATATAAAGTCATACGCAGACGGTGTACGACGAACAATCAGCTCTTCTGATATGGATTGTATCCACGGGGGTTACAATAGGTAATCCTGTGTTGCCGCAAAAGCGGGGCGAGGGGTGGTTGAGGAATAAAAATTTAAATATTATTTTTTTTACTACAATAACCTGAGTGTAAATAATAATTCCACATCTCAGAAATTCAGACAGAAACCATAATTCGTTTTTTTTTCTCGTAAGATTGGTACAAAAAAGTTAAAACTGAATTTCCTGAAAATGCGAACATTTTAAAAATGTATACCGATTTCAAAGACAAAATTACTTTGTGGTGAGTATTCATTACAAAAAGAAAATGTGTACTTCCTAGTGACATAGATAAACTAATTAATGAATTTTAATTTAAAGAACAACAAATATGAAGTCTTTTTTTTTTTTTATTAATTTTTATTCTTTATAAAGAAAAAGGAAAAAAAATCAACAGTAAAAACCAACCAAGTCGTAACCCTTTTTTTTAATATTTTTTTTAATTTTATTTAAACACTTGTGAACTTAAGATTAATTGACCTTGACTGAGTTTTACTGAATATTTCTGCTGAATATTTGCATAATTTCAGTAGAAATTGCTCTTTCGATAATTGACTAAAATTTGAAAAAAAAAAAAAAAAAAAAAAAGGAAAAAACTTTTAAATTAGTCTTTCCTAAAGGGTCGGATTAAAAAGAATATCTGTTCAGTAGAGTGGTCATCTAATCGATTTTTTACGATCTTCTGATAGTGAGAGTTTTCTTGACCTTCCTTTTTTGTCTAATCATTTTTGCTGTATGCGATGCTGAAGAAAATTTAAGGCGGAATGAGAAGAATCCATCCTCATGGAATGAATAAAGTGTTTCCGAAAGGTTTACCAAGTACGAAAAACATCTGAAGAATGTCGGGATGAGCATCCGATTTCGAATGGCACTATTATAACGTTTCGATCAATTAATGATCTGTTGTATTTTACACATTTTTTGCGCAAGATCAATGAGTGTGGGTACAAAATGAGGTCAAAGGTTACCAATTAAAATTATGCTTACTATCTGTTTTTAGTGTTTATATAATCCGTGATAGTGCAGGTAAATTAAACAATCTCAAGTTAAAAATTTCATTTTCATGCGGGAAATTAATAACGTTGGGTATATTTGAATCTGGTATGTATATGTAGGTAATTTTTCCTTTTTTTTTTTTTTAAATTTACTAACTTTTTTGTCGTTCAGTTTCAAATATTTAATTTAACGGGGTTCTACTGAGAATTTCATGTCGATTCACTGAATTTTGCAATCTGTTCTTAAATTAAAATTTGTTTGGGAAAGTTTTGATTCTCAAGATGTGTATTAAATGACGAAAAACGGGGATTGTTAATGTTCAGAAATTAAATAAAGAAGTTTTCCTCACGTTAAATATGCAGCACATAATTTTCTCGAACTTGTCTTTAAAAAAAATAAAATACAATAATAAAGAAGGTATAAATTCTCATAAGAATTTTTGCATGAATCCATTCATGAATTTAAACGAAGTTACATT